CTTTTGGTATTTTTGAGACAGGGTCTCACTATGTAGTTGAGACTGACCTGGAACTCACAGCGATCCTCCTGCCTCAGCATCCCAAGTGCTGGGATTACAGGCATGCGCCACCACGCCAGGCTTCATTATTACTTCTTTTGAGGTGCCAGTATCTTCCACCTCCATCTCCAGTTGGGGGCTGTTTTCTATAGTCAACTTCTGGCCTCCAGGTTCCAGACTACTCAAGTCCAACCGGCTATTTCTCTTCATCTTGCCAACTGCAGACATAACATCCACTTAGGGAGAAAGCTTGGGAGTGGGGGTATAGTGCAACTCTGGGTGTGCCTCCTTCTCACTCTGCCTCATTTCGTCATCCTGTCCCATGGAGAAATCCTCAGTTTACTTTTTTATAGCTTGTGGCAAGGATGAAATGAGGAGTGGCTGTCTCCAGCTGCAGGACGTATGTGAGGCCCTGACTTAGGCTCTGACTGCCACATGCTTGTCATCATTGTGGCAGCAGAACCCTGGTGGAATTAACATTAAGAATGGTTCCATAAGGTTCTTGGTGTGATGATTTGACCTTTTACATAATTAAAAAACAAATCGTGGCTATTTATTTCCCAAAATAAGTTTAAATTAAATTGGTGATAGTTTGTTTTTCTTGGAAATTAAATTTGGATTGATTGATTGATTGATTGATTGATTTTGTACTGTGGATCAAACTCAGGACCTTGCACTTGCAAGGCAGGAGGCAGAACCACTGAGCTAAATCCCCAGCTTTAATATATTTTTTAAATGGATATTTCTTCTCTCTTGGGTGTGTTGAAGGACAAGAGCCAATTCTACTTATCCAATAATATTGTGACAGCTCTGTAGATTAATCCCCCCCCCATTTCCCACAGGGCTAATATAAAACCAGTAAGAATTCCAGGGATCTTGCATAACAGTTTAAGAGCAAAACAAAAACCAAAGGTGCTTATGATTTGGGAGTGAATTACATTGATGTCTGAATGGTAAATTCCTATTTTTCATCTTAGATGGTAAATTTAAAAGAGAAAATTAAAGAACTCCATCAGCAGTACAAGGAAGCATCTGATGTGAAGCCACCCAGAGACATTACTGCCGAATTCTTAGTGAAGAGCAAGCACAGGGATCTGACTGCCCTTTGCAAGGTGTGGTATTGAATGTGCCTAACTGGCTTTGCTTGAAATCCTAAGAATTAGTGCAGATCTAAGAAACTGGAAAATAGGGTGCCACTTAACAAAGAAAATAGCTTAGTGTATGGATTGCAGGGGGACTTATTCCTTACCCAGTTAGTTTGGTATGAGAGCTGCTTTTTCAGTAGAATTCTCTCCCTGATGGTTTAGAATAACACAAATGAATGAGGACTTTAGAGTTGTTTTGGAGTCAGCCTGTCTGGTTTAAATCCCTAGCATGGTATTTCCTAGTCCTGTGACCTTGGACTCTTTAATTACCTCATCTGTAATACAGTGTTACGTATACCCTAACTTGTAGGAAATTGTGAACCTTGAATAAAATTATGTATCTAAGGTGTTTGTTCCAGTGCTAAGGACACGGTAAATGCCCAGGAAATGGTAGCTGCTCTTATTTTTCATCCTTACTTTGCAGGACCCTTAACTACAGGTTTGTTTCTTCCTTTATTTTCTCCTGCTACATGCTCTCCCTCATCTTATCCCAGGCACACAGTTTGTCTCCAAGATTAAAAATCCCCATGCTTTGGCCCCAGCCTTAAATTGAGTTACATTTTCTACACATAATCTGATAGGAATTGTCTAGACTTTACATGTTGGGGTAGATAACTGACCTTTCAAGATAAATTAGACTCACTTAGTCCTTTAACTTTTATCAGGAATATGATGAATTAGCTGAAACACAAGGAAAACTAGAAGAAAAACTTCAAGAATTGGAAGCCAATCCCCCAAGGTAAGAAAAACCCAAATGTTCAGAGTAGCTATGGCTTTTCTCTTAGGTTTCAAAGGAAAATCATGTGCATGGTGCACTTTTTATCATTAGTGTATTTTAAATTGTTTAATAAATGAAAATATCTGTGAATGTAGGGCTTCTTGTCATCTTTCTAAATCCCTTCCTACTTATATTTTAATATGTAACAGTGTCTTAGATATCTAAACATATTATCTTTGAAAAGATAGTCCTTCTCCAGAAGATGTAGTAGATGAAAATTGTCTTAAAGCGCTGCTTTAAATTTCCCTAATTCTGGGGACAAGGAAGACATTATACTTTATTTTCCACTGGAGCTTGGTCAGTGACTGTGTGCTACTAAGATGATCCTTGTGCCTCTGACCTTTGTTCTGTAGTCAGGGATGCTACCCATCCCTGCAGTAAAGTCATAAGACAAGCTAGAGATTTAGCTCAGAGGTTCTGCCTCACAAGTGCAAGGTCCCAAGTTTGAGTCCCAGAACCAAAAAATAAATAAAATATAACATAAAATACAAGTGGGGATTTTTTGTTCGTTTTACTGTAAACTTCAGTAATTAAGACTTGCTATGAGAAGTCTTTTTTTCACAAATAACTGAAGCCTGTATCCTGTAATTTGCGTTCTGAGATGAGCTTGCCACTGCTCTAGACACCAGGAGTGAAGAAAGCAGTTAATAAGATGCAAGATCCTACTTTTTGATGTATAATTTCTTCTCCTAAGGCAAAGTCCCATACTTTCCAAGATTCCAATTCATTTACTGAAACCACCCACCTCAGCTCGTTGAGAAAATTGTAGTGACCTTTCTTATTAACCCTGTGCTCCTTGTTCTTATTTTCTAGTGATGTATATCTCTCATCAAGAGACCGACAGATACTTGATTGGCATTTTGCAAATCTTGAATTTGCTAATGCCACACCTCTCTCTACCCTCTCCCTTAAACATTGGGATCAGGTAAAATTTCTTTATTGTCTAGTTTGTTGCATATATATAAGAGGACTCTCTAGAGAAACTCTTAAGTTTGTGTGTATGTGTGCTTTTAGACAGCTTTAATAAAATTTATTTATATACAGGGAAATTCACCCATTTTAAGTGAACAGTGTGATGGTTTGCTACTTGGGTCATGAGCTGCCACCATAATCAAGATACAGATCATTTCCATCATCCTGAAGCTCTCTCCTGCCCCCCCCATTGCCACTCATCCCCCATCCTCCAGCTCCTGGCCCCAGACAACCATTGATTTGTTCTTTGCTATTCTGCAGTTTCATATAAATGGAATCATGTGATATATAGCATTTTGTGTGTGACTTGCTTCACTTAGCATGAAGTTTTTGAGACTTGTCTTTGTATGGATCCGTAGTTTGTTCCTTCTTGTTACTTGGTAGAATTTCATTGTGTGGACATACCACAAACTGTTTATTCATTCACTCTGGGATATTTGGGTGGTTTTCATTTTGGCTATTCATGAAGCTATTATAATGTTTGTTATTTTTATCTTGAGTAAATATGTAGTAGAATTTCTAGACCTTACAGAAAGTAGATTTTTAACTTTAAGAAACTTCCACACTTATTTCCCAAACTACCTTCGCACCAGCAGTGCAGGAAGTTCATTTGCTTCACCTCCTCACCAGCCTAGGTAGTGTTGGGTTTTAAAGTCAGCCATTCTCCTGGGTGTGGTAGGACTTGCATTTCCCTGCCAACTGGTGATACAGAGCATCTCTTCCCATACTTAGTTGCTCTTTGTGTCTCCTTGGGTGAAATATCTGTCTGGATTTTATGCCCATTTAAAAAAAATTCAAGCTGGGTGCAGTGACTAAGTACAGGAGGCTGAGGCAGGAGAATCCAGAGTTTGAGGCCAGCGCTACACAGTGAGACCCTGGCTCAAAACACAAAATCTAGTTGTCTCTTGGTGAGTTGTCTCCCATCCAAGTACTAACCAGGCTCTACCCTACTTAGCTTCCAAGATCAGATGCAATTGGGTGTGTTCAGGGTGATTTGGCTATAGACTCTTGTTGGTGAGTTGTAAGAGCTTATTGTATTCTTTAAATTCTTTCCAGAAGTCTGTCAGATTTATTATGTTTTGCGAGTATTCCCTCTACTCTTTAGCTTGCTCTTTTTTTCTAAATAATGTCTTTTCACAGATTCCCTCCCCTTTAAGGCCTTTTGTTGTTTCTTTTCTTTTTTCTTTTTTTTCCCCCCTTTTCTTTTTTGTGGTTGATAGGGGATTTACTCCAGGACCTCGCTTTTGCTTTTTTTATACATTGAGAAATCTCTTGTCTTAATTATTTCAGCCCCATCCTTTTCTTCATCTGTCTTGGTACTTTGTTGATTATTGGTTGGCCATATAAATGTGAGTTAAGTCTTAAAATCAGGTAGTTTAAATTCTACACTTTGTTCTTTTTTGAAATTGTTTCAACTATTGTAGGTTTTCTGTATTTCTATTAAAAATTAGAATCAGCTTGTGAATTTTTCCAAAAAAATACATTCTAGGATTTTTATTAGTAGGGCATCAGATGTCTAGATCATTGTAAGGTCATCTGTGATCTTAATTTTGGGTCTTCTCTTGGAGTATGGTAAACCTCTCCATTTATTTAGATCTTGCTCAGCATGGTTTCTGCCTCCCAGTATACAGGGCTTGATCAATATACAGGGCTTGATCACTTTATGATAAATGTGTTTTAAGTGTAATTTGCACAAGGCTTCTTGGGTATAAAATGGGCCAGTCTTTAAATCTGAAACTTTGGCCAGACTTAAGACTTTATAGAAGTAAATAAAGTTTAATTTTCATCATGCTTTCCTAGTAGATTTAATTTTTGTATTTTGAGACAGGGCCTCACTAAATTATTTAGGTTGGGCTTGACTTTTCAATCCTCCTTCCTCAGTTTCCTGACATCCTGGGATTACAGGTATGCACCACCATATCCTGCTGACTTAAGTGTACTTTGTTATTCTTAAATATTTGAATCACATTAAGGATTGGGGCTTATTAGTGATAAAACAATCATAGAGAAGTACCAGTTTATTGTTTCTTTTGTGTAAATACTAGATTAGGCCCTTCTGGTCATTGACTTATCATTTGACATCTCAGTACTTGCTGTTAGCAATTTTAGCTGATCTGTGGGGAGCAGATTAGTCAGTTCCAAAATTTGGCTGCCAGCTCAATATTTTTATCCAGTTCCTTTATGTCAGAATATGTATTCAAAGTAGGAAAGAATACTGGTGTTGAGTATGGTGGCACATGCCTGTAATCCTAGCACTTGGGAGGCTGAGGCAGGAGGATGGCAGTGAGTTTGAAGCTAGTGTGGGCTACATAGTGAGTTCAAGACCAGCCTGAAGTACATAATGAAACTCAGTGTCAGAAGAACTAAAAACAAACAAAAAATTAGAGCACTGGGGATTCTTGACTTCTTTACTATATAGACTATCTTGGGCCTCTCTTAAAATCCTGGATTGGCTTCATCTTGTGTGACAGAATCTAATTTTGAAAATTTTTATCAACCTAATATGTAAGTTTAAGGAATAAAAACTTTTTTTTGTTGTTTTTTTTTGGTACCGGGGATCAAACTCGGGACCTTACGCTTGCAAAGCAGGCAGCAGAGCCACTGAGCTAAACCCCTGGCCCCAGGAATAAAAACATTTTGCTCATAGGTAAAAGGTAATGTAATTGGGACAGTGAATATTATATTCTACAAATCCATAATTATTTGAAAGCTAAAAAGATAAGCTGTTGTGCTACCTAATCATCTTAGTTCCCACATCCATCCCTGGTAGATGGTCTGGACTTGGGTGGTGTAAGACTATGCCTTAATCCCACTATCCAAAGATTGGGTGCATTTTGGTGTTCTTTTTCCTTCACTTTTCGTGGGCAGCTATAGTTGAATATGGAGTGATTATTCTTTAATTTCTGCCTTAAAATATTGGCTGTCTTCACAAGCTTGTGTTTTTCAGCATTGTCATTCAAAACTCTATGTAAATGACATAAGTTGGACTAAGAAAATAAACCAAGAAAATGTGGAAATAGATCCTTTTCTCTTCTCGTTAGGATGATGACTTTGAGTTTACTGGCAGCCACCTGACAGTGAGGAATGGTTATTCCTGTGTTCCTGTGGCTTTAGCAGAAGGCCTGGACATTAAACTGAACACAGCAGTACGACAGGTTCGCTACACAGCCTCAGGTATGTGGCTATTGTGCAGGAAAGGCATAGTTCCTCCCTGAAACATAGTTCATCTTGTTACTACAGCAGGAATAGCAGGTGTATTCCCAAGTATTTTATAAATGATGGCTCCTAGGTGAAATGTTTGCATTTCTAATTGGTTGACCTGTGGGGAGACTTAGGGTTCATTCCTCCCTCATCTATAAGGTAGAGAATTTGAGGCAAGTTTTAGTTTCCAGCTTATGTGTGAACTAGTATGGTATTACAGAGCCAGTGAATTTGGATCTATTTTGCTAAAGTACCAGGTTTTGCGCCCCTGCACTTGAGTGTATATTTTCACCATCTGTCTCTTGGTTTTTGGATCTGTTTTGGTTCTTCTGTTCAGAAGGGCTAATTTGTGCAAGCTAGTTCCTAGTTCTGTAGCAGTCCTGCTGATAAATTGACTTCAGAGACAGACTTGCCCTGTGATTCCTGTGGGAATAGGCTCAGTGCTCTTATTGTTAATTTCAGAGTCCATTTAATGTAGGATGCAGAGAACTTGTTGTCTACTCACTATGGAACTGATAGTTCTGAACTCCTTAAAATAGCTAGTTACCTCTGTAAGAGTCCTCATGTAACCCCAGGGCATAAAAAGTAGAGAGGGAGAGTCCCTTTCCTAGAATTGCTTCACACACACACTCACACTGTAACCATCAGTGAAACAGCTTTCCGTTTAGTTTTCCCATCAGAGGCAGCTTCTGTCTGATGGTGTTGAGGTATAGCCTTTTGCCAGCAGATGGGAGAACAGTAAGAATAACTATAATGTCATTTTCTCTAATTCTGCAGCCACAGAAAATGGGCATATACTGAGCTCTCACACTTACTTTGAGCTATATATATTTTTAATTATGTAACAATTCATTTAAGAACCCAAATGAGATAACATAATTTCAGTACCCTCTCTGAGGCTGGCTTTGAGCTCATATTCTGACAAACTGGGTAACAGAGGACATTTTCAATATGCTTCACAGTTGGAGGGGTGTGTTCCGTAGATCTGCACCACAGCTCTGCGCGTCATTCTTTGTCCTTAGAGAACAGCTAAGCACAGTGCAAAGGAATCAGGTCATTTGGAACAGACATTTTACTCCTAATTTTGTTCTGAATCACTTAACTTTAGTGAGTGATGGGATCCTTCTAGCAGATCAGCAGTGTATTAGGAGGGTGGCTGTCAAGGCCTCGACATTGCTGTGCGGGTTTAAACCTTAGCATTTCGTAGTTTTGTGGCCTTAGGCTCACTGTCCATTTTCTTGTATGAAAAATGAAGGTAACAGTACCCATCTCATGGATGTATAGCAGAGTTAGGTGAAATAGCCCATAGGTCCTATTGTATACTAAGTATTTAGTATCCTTTTAATGCCATCCTCTTCACCTTAGTCTTTTCCCACCAACTTCTGTAGGATGTGAAGTGATCGCTGTGAATACCCGCTCCACAAGTCAAACCTTTATTTATAAGTGTGATGCAGTTCTCTGTACTCTTCCCCTGGGTGTGTTGAAGCAGCAGCCACCAGCTGTTCAGTTTGTGCCGCCTCTTCCTGAGTGGAAGACATCTGCAGTTCAAAGGATGGGATTTGGCAACCTTAACAAGGTGATGAATTCTAGGCCCCTCTCTCCACGTACTAATGTGCACATACTAGTTTTTCTGCCTCCTCAGAGAGCAGAGGGCTTTGAATTTGTGTGCATTAGGCTCTGCCCTCAGCAGTCTGAGATACAGGTCTGAGACCTGTTAGTGCATTCCCTTGGTGCCTATAGTATTTTTTTTTTCTCTCCCTCATTGAGTTTATTGGTACATTTTAGGTATACAGTACAGTTACATTCATTATTGGGATCTTGTACCTTTACATGACAGGTCTTGGTTCTCATTTTTTCCCACCAACAGTTAGTCTTATGGGGTTATTCAGCATATCCAAGCCTATAAAGAGAGTCATAAATGTCCTAAATAATATATTTATAAGAGATTTGAGTTTATATCAGAAGTGGATTAGGAAACTTTAATACATCTGAAGAAGTTCTTCACAGGCACAGCAGTGCTTAAAGAAAGCCATGATGTCTGAGACCTGTCACCAGCTCATATGCCCTCTTATGGTAGGTGGTGTTATGTTTTGACCGAGTGTTCTGGGATCCAAGTGTCAATTTGTTCGGGCATGTTGGCAGCACGACTGCAAGCCGGGGGGAACTCTTCCTCTTCTGGAACCTCTATAAAGGTAACTGCTTCTGATTTTTTTTTTTCTGTTTCCTTATAGGAACACAGAATTAGGAATATAAACATATACCTTAATTTTTATTAACTCAGTAAGGTGTCCCTAAAATTCCTTCTAGGTATGAGAATACGTTACAATAAAGGGGAGAAAATTACCTCAGCAGAAGGGACAGGCCATGGGAGGCTTCCTGGAATACGAAATTTATTGCTCATTTCCTTTACTTTTTTTTAATTGCTCATTTTCTGTCACACCCAACTTGCCCTTGAATCTTTGATCACTTCCCTTAGAATGCATTTTTCACATTCCTATTTCCTGTTGAATTTTCTTCTTCTGTAATTAGACTACCTTAACTCTACATAGAGGTAAATAAAGTATGATGTATACCCCACCTCCAAGAAAAGGACACTCAGCAGTACTACTGTACAGTAGTGTCAAGGGCATGGCCTTGTTATTGTAGACACAGTTTAAGCAGCTTGATCTCACCCCCAGTTCTTTTCACCTAATGAAGTTTTAGCCCAACCTCGAAGGCCTCTTGAATCTGAGGCCTGTATCTTTTCTGCTGCCTACTTAACGGGTCAAGTTACCTGACAGTTGGGCCATGGTTACAACTAATATCTCTGCTTCTGTTTATTGATGGCTTTTTCTTGTTGAAGGAAAACATTCAGGCTTCTTTTCATAGACCCCTCATAATCTAGCCCTCCTTTACTTCCTGTTGTTTGTCTTCCCTTACTCCTCACTTGCCTCCCTGATTTTACAATGTGCCGTGCTGTTTACTGGTCTTCCAGGGCTTTTGTATGCACTGTGGCCTAGGCTTTTTTTTTTTTTTTTTTTTAAGAACTTCCCACATGGCGTACTATTCTACCCTTCAGGTCTTGAGTTAAATGTCAGTACATTTGAGAGATTTTCCAAGACACACACATCCTACTACATTGAATTCCAACTAAGTCTGAGTCGCTATTCACTATAATGGAGTATCTGTCATAAAAGTCTGTTGTATAGAGCTAAAAGGGATGTAGCCGTTGTTAGGGAGCTAAGGTGGTCAGACCTAAGAAGTCTCTGCCTGAGTATACAGTTTTGTTAGGATTGCTGTATACTCACAAGGGTCTGTCAGCTTCCTTCTGCTCTATTTCTGCAGATACGAGTTCAGGAACGTAACTTGTTTTTCACATAGGATGCTGTATATCTCATCAGAAGTCTGTAGGAAAACCCTAGAATTGTTCTTCCTGTTTCCCCAGCTCCAATACTGTTGGCACTGGTGGCAGGAGAAGCTGCTGGCATCATGGAAAATATAAGTGATGATGTGATTGTTGGCCGGTGCCTGGCCATTCTCAAGGGGATTTTTGGTAGCAGTGCAGTGCCCCAGGTAAGTAGGTCGGGGGACAAGCAAGGATCTGGCTTCAGACTAAACCAGGGTTTAGCTTGACATGTCTGCTGCATAAGTTCTTGGTCACTTTGAGAATTAATGTAAGTGTTAGATGTACATGAATTTTGAAACCACCACCACCACCATCTGTAGATGGTTTACTTTGGTTCCTCCTCTGCCTGTGGAATCACATAACCCTGCCCCTTTTGGACAGAGTGCCCAAATTCCAGTGAATCCCTCAGGGATATCTCTTAATAGTTTTGTCCTCTTTAAGCCCACTATGATGTTTAGCCCGTTAATATTTTTGGTGGGAGATGTATTCATACGTACGTGAATTTATAAAGGTCAAGTCGTAGACTTGAACTCACATACAAGGCACAGTGGACAGTTCCTTCAATTCCAGGTCATCTTGCCTTGGTGCACGGAGCAGCAGCATCCACCATCTGGCTCATGTTTTTTGCCTCTTCCCTAATGTACCTGCTCACCACCTCTTTTCCACGTTTCAGAGGGGACAGATTTGTCCTTATTCCAATAATGACTTTTGCCTATGTTTCTTCCTTTAGCCCAAGGAAACTGTGGTGTCTCGCTGGCGTGCTGATCCCTGGGCCCGGGGCTCCTATTCTTACGTAGCCGCAGGGTCATCTGGAAATGACTATGATCTGATGGCTCAGCCAATCACTCCCGGCCCCTCAATTCCAGGTGCCCCACAGGTAAGAAACTGAAACTGAAAGGCTACATCTAGGTCTCTGGGAAGAAGCCCATGTCCCAGGATCTTGGGGGAAAAAATGCTGTCACTGATGTTTTGATTTTAGTCATTCTGTCCTCAGGCACTTTTCAGATAACCCAACGGATAAATAATACTATTTATATCTGATTTCTCATATTTGGTAAATCTAGGCTGCTACATGCAAAACGGAAGAGTCCAGAGCATATAGAAGTCAGTAACTTTTTTTCCATTTTTCTGCCTTAAAAAAAAATCCATTTTAAATTGTACCTTTGTAGTGTGACTCATATCCCAGGATTACTAGGGGTTTTGGGGTGGGGGTTTTGGGGTGGGGGATACCCAGAAAATAGTCTTGGGTCCTTTTCTAGATTGGGCCAGTCCTTGTTCCAGACAGCAGTAAGGTTTCCTCAGTATCAAAACCCATATCCATGGCCTGCTCTGAACTGAAAGGCAAGAATGTTCCTGAATAAGAGCCAATGCTGTACTCTCTGTGGTTGTGCTCTCTGCCAGTAGGTACTTCATGAGGTAAAGAAAATCCTAGAATCTTGCAGTGTACTGATAAATAACAGCAGATGAAGTTAACAAGCACTACCAAATGAGGCTAGGGTAAAGTTTATACCAGTTCTAGGAAAATGCTGGTAGAGTGATGAACTAGCAACAAGGCAGAGGCTATGAGGCTATAAATAAGCCTTCAAAATTCAACAGAAATTTGGCAGTTCAGACATAAGGCAGGGCTGGGAATTAGCTCAGTACTGCCATCGCCTGCCTCACAAGTACAGAGACCTGAGTTCACACCTTGGTACCAAAAAGAAAACCACAAGAAGGCAGGTGTGGAGTGGTGGCACATACCTGTTATCCCGGCATTCTGGGAGGCTAAAGGAGAATTGCAGGTTGGAGTGCAGCTGGGTGACTTAGACCTTTTCCAAAAAGGCAGCCTAGGGAGGTAGCTCATAGTAGAAACCCAGGTTCAGATCTCTAGAACTAGAACCACCGAAGGAAAATAATAGAAGTATTATTTGCCAGAGCACAGAGGGTTGAGGCAGAAGAATCATGGATTTACCACTGCTATGTAGTGAGGCCGTTTTTGTTTTGTTTTGTTTTGTTTTTAATCCGAAGGTATATTTGCAATCTGTTGTCTTATTTCTCCCTGAAATAGCCAATCCCACGCCTCTTCTTTGCCGGAGAACATACAATCCGGAACTACCCAGCCACAGTCCATGGTGCTCTGCTGAGTGGGCTGCGAGAAGCAGGAAGGATTGCAGACCAGTTCTTGGGAGCCATGTACACTTTGCCTCGCCAGGCCACACCAGGCGTCCCTGCACAGCCATCTCCAAGCATGTGAGATGCAAGGCGGAGTTTGACGACTGCAGTTGTTTGCAAAGCTCTTCTAGCAATACTAGATGGCACTGAGAAGCTCCTGCCCTGGCACCTGGGCTCTCCGTCAGCTGACAGGAACTTGCTTGAATCCTGTTCTTCTTAAAGACTGAGGCAAGAACGTGCTCTAAGATGACATTTCAGTGTCTTGGTGTTTTGTTGTTGTTGTTGTTGTTGTTTTTTAATATTTTGAGAATAAAACTTCATATAAAATTAGTCCTATCTTGTTTCCCCTTTGGGGTTGGAGTTGCGTGTGAGGGATGTTTGAAACTTTGGCAATGATAGTACATATATTTTGTGTTTAAATGAGAAAAATGGTTTGGTCACATCAGAAGATGAGGTTGAGGGGATCCTGTAGCTCAGAGGACTTCCTGGCCACTGGGGCTTGACTTCCCTGCTGGTACTGCAGCAGTGGCCAAGAGTGTATCAGGAGATTTAGGATGATTTTTTTCATTTGGGTCACTGGCAGACCATTCTGTCTTTAGTCTCAGATCCCAACCCTTCCATGGATGGGCACATACTTATGGTAGAAAGATTTGGGAAGTATTGGAAAGGGTCAAGGGCTTAGGTTATTTAGCTGGTGTCACAAACTACCACAATCTAGTGACTTCTGTTCTCTTAGTCTAAAAAGATGGCAGTTTGAAAATGAAAACAATAAATCGGGTCCAAAGGGCTGTTTATTGTGGAGGCTTGCCATTTTTAGCTTCTCATGGCCATCTCTATTGCTGTGTAGCCCTTCCCCTAGTAGTCAAACCTTCTGCTTATTGTCTCCTTAATCATGCCTACAAAGCCCTCTTACAAAGCCCTCTTTGCCTTGCAAGGTAGACATTTTTACAGAAAGAAGCAAACAGTAGTGTTCCTTCCTGGGGCCTCCTAACAGATAAACTATGTCACTGTACAAATGTGTCTGAAGCTTTGGAAACCAGATTGTGTTCACATGAGTCAATTTTCCTGATAGTCTAAATGAGGCCTTATTAAGAGGTAACACCAGTGAGCTGGAAGATGCTGGGGAACTGATGGAGAGGTGAGGACGTGGAATATGCTTGGGCTCTAAGGTATACTCTTGAACCCTGAGGGGTTAATTAGGGCGTCTGATCCAGTGATGGGTGCTTCCAGTTTGTTTGTTTGTTTGTTTGTTTGTTTAATAAATGGCATAGGCAGCTTGAGAGATTGTTTTTTCATGACAAGCTTGAAAAACAGAATGTAGCAATGAAATAGCTAACTAATGATTTTAACTCTAGTTCACTATATAGGACCTAGGCATGTCCTTTTCCAGACCTTTGGCAGGTGGTGCTTTACCTAAAACTGCAATACTCTGGCTGCACCAACAGATAACAGCTGTACACGCAGAGATAACATCAACAAAACTGGCATCTGACTCAGTGAGCGTATGGAAACTAGGGAGCTTTATTGGTTACATATTGTACTGCAGAGCCAACAGAGAGCATTAGAGCCAGAGGATACATGCAGACAGCTTTGACTACACACATGCACCCAAGGAGCCCTGAGCTACTGCTCATGGCTTTGCCCTGGTTTCCAGTGGCAGGTTCTGGCCTTCTTGGTCCTGTGCTTGGAACAGAAATGTATGTAAAAGCCTCCAAGAGGGAAGGGGTAAGGCCAGAGCACCTGCCTGAGCGAGTAGGTATGGACCAACAGGTTTATGCCCCCAGCAGAGGGACCTGCAATGCAATAACAGTTTATTTGAAGGCTATCTTCCTAGCCCTTCCTATCTTTAAAATACAAAAAAATAGACTTTATTCTCTTAAAAATACATTCCGTTCAAAACATGTTCTGAGCTGTGAAGCAGCAGGAAAATAGGGCCCCTTTCCTATGATCTTGATTGAGGCTTTGAGGAGAACCCTGTTCCCCTGGGGTATTCAAAAGAAAATCCCTAAAAGCAGCTATTCCGAAGCAGTCTTGTCAGAGTAGCAACAAAGAAACTCACACCAGCAAAAAGAGCCAGGGACCCAGCCTCAGGGGTCTTGAGTCCCTAGTCCTTTACTGGGAAGTTGTAGCACTTGGCACTGTGACCCACTAAATCTAAAGAACTAAAACTGCCCCAGGACACAAAGTCCAAGAACACTATTCACCCCCACCCCCACCCCCAGCACCCCACAAAAGAGGGATGGTTCATGTGCAAGCTTGCCAGCAGCTGAGACTAGAGTCCTTGGCCCCACACAGATCCCTGCCTTTAACCCACAGTCTCAACTGTTTCATTGCCACAAAGAAGCAAAACCTACTTAGGGCTTGTCTCCACCCCTCAGGCGTCCAGCTGTTTCAGTATCAGACTGGCAAGACACCATGGCAAGTGAAAAAGACCAGTTCCTGGCCTTTAACCATCTCTACCTCCTCCCAACCATGCAGCTATGCAGGGCCAGGTTCCCTTCCCTAGGAGCCTTCCCACAACTGTACGCCTGCCGGTAAGAAGAGGCTCGTCATAAAAGTGGGTTGGCTGGGACAGTGGGACTATTTGGTTTAGACAACTATTCAGTCACCAGGTCTCCCCTCTACTAGGAGGCTTCCTCTAGGACTCCTGATTGTGAGGACTGGATCCAACTGGACACACCTTGGTTGCTTTTCAGAAATGTGCCTTCCAACTTAGGAATCTGAGAGCCAACCTGGAAGCCCAGAGGAACTGAGCCTCTAGCCTTCACTTGCTAATACACATTTTCTGCAATGCTGAGGATACTCAAAAATAAAATGTCTTATAGTGGCCCTATAAAGTGTGCAGATTAAAGAAACAGTATCATGAAATAATTGTTACAATCAAACCCTATTGCACTCAGATTTCAAATTGGCAGCCCCAATAAAAGGGTACCACCACAGCTGTCCCTTATCCACATAGCATTTTGAATATGGGCAGATGTTGGTGCTGCTAAAATGTGGAAAGATCCAGACTTTGGCACCAAGAGATACAGCACCAGAATCCAGGGCTCCAACACCGAAAGACAAAAAATATTGGCGAGATCATTTTAGGCATGGGTCAGCGGTCTGTTTCCATCAGCAGAGAAGAGCCACAGAATTTCCTATGTCCTCTCCCACTCCATTGACCACTCTAGAGGTTAGCTTCCTTTGACTTCTCAGGGCTGCCAACAGGTAAAGGAGAATGGTAGAGAAGCCACAAGTGAGGATTTGGAGCCTTAAGTAAGCAAGTTTCTGGCCAGTGACCCAAGAGAAGCAGCAGGGAGAAATCTTGAAAATAGCATCCTACATTTTGCATCTGTGGTGGGAGATGGAGGGGAAAGGCAAGCCATATAGCAGTGGCAAACCCTTAGGTTAGCAAAACTCCAAAAATTAGAAGTTTGAGCAATATATTCCTGTCTGAAAAGTAGGGTTGATGCTTCCTAAGCCTCAGAACAGCGGTCTGACAGACCAGGGCAGGATGAATGATGCCTGTGCAGAGGCGGGAAACCACTCACAGTCCTCCTGAGGATCAAGTCCGGAGTCTTCCCTCTTCCTAGGAGAGGCACAGGAATCGGAGACTTGTGTTTTAGAAAGCACCCAGCCTAAAAGCCAGGAGATAACATGGGTGGCACTGGGCAAGGCCTCAGACTATGCAGTCCCTTCCCTTCTGAACAGGCCTAAACAGCTTCTCTCCGCTTGCCCTTGTGAAACACAAACATGGAGAAACTATGTGTAAGGCCAACAAAGACAACTGAAGTCAAGAGGTAAAATATTTCCTCAAGCCCCCAGAGACAATAAGAACCAGCCCACAACAGATGGTAAAAACAGGAATCTTGAATTCCAGATTCAGGCCCCTTAAGAGATCATTTCAAAGAGCTCATTTTACAGACAGGGAAACTAAGGTTCCCAGAAGACAGAGACTCACCCAAGTTTCCATGGAAAGGCAGTAATAAAGCCTCAGAAAAAACAGCTTTCTAGACTCCTAGTCTAATGCTCTCGTTGTTGAAAGCAATGGCATCTGCTTCATACAAGTAGCCTTTAAAGGAAACCCCTTGTTTATATCGAGAGGATGCTGTTTAAAAAAAAAAAAAAAAAAGCAGTGCCATGAATGTAGTTTTTAACTTCCCTGTGAAACTGGTATAAGGAAACTAGTGTTTTTTTTGTTATTATTTTTTTTTTTAATGCGGCTTCCTGAAAGATTTGCTGCACTTTGAACTGTATAAACCTGAGGTCCTCAAATGGGCAGATAATCTTTCCTTCAATGAAGTCACTGTAGCGATAGTCGACTTGCAGGCATCAAGGGCCACTTCTATAGGAATGCATCAGTGTGGTAAAGTGCGAAGCCTCCTCCTTGTGGGATGGAGGAGGTGGAACAGGAGAGAAGATTCTCAGTCCATGCCTTTCGTGGAGCTATTGCGTATGGAGTGACTGAAGGGAAATGCTTCTTCCTGTCTGCTTTCCCCTTGCCGGGGCACTTCCTAGAAGGCAGAGTATGCTGGGTCAGGCCCAGCTCAGTCCAGGAATTTTCCCAAAATGGGAACAATGATGTCAGGTGAAGTCTCCCACCACAGGAGAGTGTGCAGTTCTGCCAGCAGCATTACGGAGGAAGGAGATGTAAGAGACTTGCACACTTCCGGTGCGTTTGGAAGGTGAGCAGAGAGCCGGGGTGGGAGAGGGATGGTGTCATTCCAACAGGTATCTGCCCCCAGGAAACTGGTCAGCCGGGGGCCTGGGTCAGACAAGCCTCAACCTACAAGGTAGGGCCATAATCCCTCAGAGGCAGCACAGACCCCTTCTGCTTTCAAAGTGTGAGGAAAAGAACTCCAAGAGAAGGAGGAGTGGAAGCCCCCCAGATGGAGCCAATGGCTGATAATCCTTAGTGGGCACGTGGTCCCTCAGCACAACGAGTGAACTGAACTTGGTGAGGAAACAGAAGTCAAGGCATTAAGGGACAAGAACGGGCTAATCTAAGATACAGAAACAACCCACCAGGGAGCAGAGGAACAATGTGGCTACTGTTGTATGGTGGGAGGTTTCTGTATCTCCCCATTTGGGGCCAAAATGGTCCATGCTACCTTAGGGACAGGGACAAAGAAAGGGGACTCATGCATCAAGGAAGGCCGGGCCTGGGTGACTGTCCAGGTTGTAGTCTGTGATCCCCGCCGGACAACTGGCAAAAATTACCTGAGCCACACCCCAGCTCTCAGTCTCCCAGCCAAGGCCTTGTGTCCAGCTG